AAATCTTACTCATATACCCTATTAAAATTTTTTATCACCATTGAGTTTTTATTAAAATACTATCTAAATATAAATTTAAGTTTTGACCAATCCAAACACAAACTCAAAAATATTCTTAATTCAAATTATAACTTAAATGTGCACATCCAAACACAAACTCAAGTTACAACTTCAACTCAAGTTATAACTCAAACTCAACTTAAGATCATCACTCAAGTCATCCTAACTCAAAAATGTAAAAGAACAACCCTTAAGTGTTAATATCATTCCAACATAACGTGAATTATATATGACATAGCTTTTGTTTTGTTTTGTTTTGTTTTTGTTTTTGTTTTTTTGTTTTTTTGTTTTTGAATTAGAACTTTTGTTTTTCTAATTAACTTGACCAGTATTAGCTGTTAATATGCGAAGCTTCATTGATTTTAATTATGATTACTATTATTTATTATTATTATTATTATTATATTGTTATTATAATTTATGTAAAGGGAACACTTTTTGATGGTACTTCATTAAGATGTTAGAGAAAACAGCGTGAGTTCGCGAAGTATACCATTTCTCATATAATTTTTTTCTTTATCATACTAAAAATGATTGTGGCTCTTATATTAAAGGTGAACTACTATAAATCTTACATTGTTTATGTTTATTTTTTTTTCTTGTACGATTTTTATTGGTAACGGATTTAAGTACAACTCAGTGGGGACTATCGCCCCCAACTTTTTTTGAAAAAAATATTACTTTTAAAATTTTTAAAATTTTACACTTAAGCCCCCACTAAAATAATATATGCCCCCACTAAAATAAATATATTTTCTTATATGCCCCCACTAAGATAATTTGTTAAAAAAAAATTAGTGTACGCCCCCACTAAAGTGAAAGGCTGGCTCCGCCACTGCTTACGACGTCTAATTCTTAACATTATCATTAATTTTTCTAAAGCTAATTAATATTGATTAAATGATAATATCATATTCTAAATCCTAAATAAGAAAAAAAGGCCAGTGTCATCCATGAGTTGTTGGTCATGCATATAAGCTATATTTCTTTTTCTTTTTCTTTTTAGGAAAAAAAGAGTAAAAATGAAATAACCGTTCAATATATTCTAAGAATACAAATTCAACCATTTTGGTGGAACAACATTTTAAAAAAAAAAAAAAATTAGAATGGAGAATATCATTAATCAATAGCCAATTTTAGCCACCTCTGCACTTATAATGGATGAAATATAATTAGAAAAATCTTTTAACCAAAACTGATCAGCATCTAGCGAGAAAGCAAATTGCGCCACTTTACCAGAAAAATCCCCTAATCAAAACTGCTTTATTCTGATAACACAAATTCAACCATTTTGGTTGGTGGAATAGCGATTCAATTGTAATAGTTATTCCTAAATCTTTTTACTTACTTTTTATTTTTTATTTTTTTCTAAAGCCTTTTTGTTTGACCAAATATAAGAAGAATGATCATTCATTAAAACGAACTTACCATAATAAGAAGACAAATTATTAGAATCGGCTGGTCATCATAATGGAATCCTTGGCCATAATAACAGAGTTTAAAATTTGTAGGTCCCCTAAATTTTTGTCCCACATATGGCTTTGTGCTTACATGTTAGGAGCCAAAAAAAAAAAAAAAAAAAAAAAAAAAAAGATATAAATTCTTACAAAGAGAGACTCTTTTACAACAGTTCCTGATTGGCCTAAAATTTAGTGGTGAGTTTATAAACTTTATATGCATTAAAATGTAAAGTTGAGAGAAAATTAGGCTACATTCACTTTCTAAATGAACTATTGATCCGTTACCTTTTCTATGTTTTTTTTTTTTTTTGGATTAACATTATTTTTCTGAATTATAAAAAATAGTTATCTTTATCTTTATTTTAATTTATCTTAGTAGGTTAATTGCTTGTCTACTTTTGTTATTAGCAAGTAGACCATTCATCAACTCTTTTTCCCTCTAATTACTAGTTGAGTATCGCAATGTGACTTTCCCAGTATGTTCTCTAATTAGCAAACCACTAGTTTTCTTTTTATCTAATAAGAAGAAATGTGATAAACGTTTTTTTTTAAATCTCACTTTTTTTCCTTTAACGAAATAGCTAAAACTGACATAAATGCATAGATTTAAATTAAGTTTAGAACGTTTTAAAAATTAGAGGGGGAAAAAAAGATTGAAGTAAAGTTTGAGCGTTTTCAAAGTTAAAGACCAAAAATGGGTCTGAGATAAAGTTTGAGGATAATATGTAGGATTAACAAAAATAACTATATGCAACATAATTGATAATTGGTACTCTATTTTGTTTGTATTATTATAAGAAATTGATATTTTATTTTACAATTATCTATCTATACACATTCACTAAAAGCGAATCCGTTTTATTGAGACAGACGAAAAATTGGACAAAACACCGTCCTTTTTTTTTTTTTTTTGGTTTTTTAATTTCCTTTGTTTTCTTGTTCCTTCCATATATATTTTTTTTATATCTTTTACCCTTTATTTTTGTTTCTTCTAACTTCTCTATTTTGTGTTGTTTTCATCATAATATGTTATATATTTTCAAATCTACTTCACTAAATTATATTTTTCTTTCTTAATTTGTCTCTATCAAAAACATTTTCTTTTCTTTTTTTCTTTTTACAAATACATACCTATAGTATTCTTACAGTTATCTGATCAATTATATTTCTTCCGAATGTTTTCTCATTTAAATAATTTTCTTACATCTTTAAAAATATTATTTTCTTAAACTACCTTTATAACTACTTGTTTTTCCTTATTGCTCTATTAAAATATTTTTCTTCTGAAATGTGCTTCTGTCTAAGCATCATTTTCTTAATTAATTTTTTCATATTTGCTCTTAATTATTTTTCCATAAAATTTGTCAAGATCAAGCTTTTCCTTCCCTTAAATGAGTCCTACTTATATATTCTGTTTTTTTTTTTTTTTTTCATATGATACTTTAATTTATTTATTTTTTTCAAAAATAATCTTAAACGAGTTCTACTTATATAATTTTCTTTTCCTCACACACACATATTTCTCTTTGCTTTTATTTTTATTCTTAAATCTTTTATTTTCTAAATATGCGTTATCCTATCCCCCAACCATAACTTCTCTCATATGTGTGATTGTTTAAACATTTTTTCTTTGTAGTTACTATATATTTGGGTAGTTTTATCTATAAACTCCTTTTTACTCTACACACTCCTTCTAAATATACACCTCACATTATTAAATTTACTTTTTACACCTTTGTTGTTCTAAAATTACCTTTTAACTATTTGTATGAGATTATTAACTCTTAGGCCCCGTTCATTTCACCGATTTGAGTTTAGAATTCGAGTTTTACTACAGTAAAAAGCTCTCAGAAACAGTCACATCTAATTTTTTTACCACAGTAAAAAGCTCTCACATAAAGTCACATCTCAACTCGAATCAGCGAACTAAGCGGATTAATCACTTCATTTTTCTTTTCATACCCATCATTTTATTTTGATTCTTTACTTTAATATAATCATTTCTTTATTTGTTTGGTTGAATCTTTAGGCATGAAGCCTTTACTCACACATAAAGAAAACTCACTATTATATTGTTTAGAAAATAAAAGAAATTTACTGTAGAAAATTTTTAATAGTAAATTTACATTTTTATGATGTTGCTATTTAGGAATGTAGTAGTAAATTTTCTATAAAAAAAATCCTTTATTTTTCTAATAAATGTAATTCTAAACTTTCTTTAAGTATAAAAACGCTTCATGCCTAAAGTTTCACTCCAAAAAAAAAAAAAAAAATCAAAGAAAAAGAGAGAGAAATAATATATTAAAGTAAGTAACAAATTAAAATGAAATAGTAGATGTGAAAGCAAAATCAAGTTGTACGAATTAATAATCTTATGTAAATAGTAAAGGGTAATTTTAAAATAATAAAAGTGTATGGATAGAACCACTTTATATCCCTTTTTCTAAATGTGGCCTCATGAGAATTTTTTTTTCCTAATTACCACTGTTATATAATTTATAAATTTGCTGCTACCTAAACATTTTTCCCATAATCATAATAAATATTTTGTTTCCATATGCACAGACTGTAAGTGATTTACTGTCTAATTATCCAACTAAAAACCTTTTTTCCCTTTTAAAAATACTCTACTAAACTATTTCGTTTTTATGAAATTAAACTTTTAGGAGAATAATAAATAAAAAAATATAAACTGAAAATAAATATTGTCTGTACAACCAAAACATATCGTATAGAGTATGGACTAGTCTTTTTAAACTGTTATTCAAGCTTATTCAGCAAAAAAAAAAAAAAGAAAAAGAAAAAAAAACAGTTATTCAAGCAAAAAGATTTCATTGCTAAATAGTTTACATCATCATATTCCAATTGCGTGATAGGGAAATTATTTCCGAAAAGAATTTTTCACTGTTGGGGAGAGAGAAAATAAAAAAAAAGTAAAAAAAAAAGAAATTATGGGATAACGAGAATCCACGTGGAAGGATACAGTTGGAAATTCCAATCAGATCAGAGGATGGGGCCCAGGCCCAGAGCAGTAGTAGGTTGTCAAAGAAGACCAACACCATGATTAGATACTAATGGTTTTGGCAGACCCGAAGGAGGAGTTTTCTCCTTTTTTTTTTTTTTTTTTTTTCATAAATTTATTTAATTTAAATATTTATGCTTCTATAACCCCATCCAACAATATCTATCCCCATGTGCTGAGATGATGACGACGATAAAAGGAAACGAAAGACTGGTCTGTTCGGCTGTTCCATTCCTTTTCAGTAATTATATTCACATATATACCTATATATATATTATGGCCTCGTTCGTTTCGATGATTCGAGTTTAGAATTTGAGTTAAGATGTGATTGTATGTGAGAGTTTTTTACTGTAGCAAAAAAGTTAGATGTGATTGTTTGTGAGAGCTTTTTACTGTAGCAAAACTCGAATTCTAAACTCGAATCAGCGAAACGAACGAGACCTATATCTATATATACACATATTGATATCACATGCCCATCAAACAAGTCTTCCTCCATGCCTCCACTCCAAGTCTTGTAGCGAATATATACACACACATATATATAAAGAGGGTGTTATATATAACTCTGATCTGGTGGCATCGTTACTCCACTGATACAAGTAAGGACAACGTTTTGAGACCCAAAAGCCAAATCCAAATTTAACTCCAGCTCATTCTCTCTCTCTTCTCTCTCTCTCTCTCTCTCTCTCTTAATTTCTGATCAAAAGAAGCTTCGCCGTTACGCCCTCTCTTCATTCACTCTTTCTTTCTTCGATAAAGAGATACAGAGAGAGAGGAAAAAAAAGAACCCCACTTTTATTTTTGGCTTACTCTATCGAAACTGTGTCTGCATATAGGCTTTGTTTCGCGTTTCATGATCTGGGTCTTCCTCGGTTTGAGAATTAGAGGCCTTTTCCTTATCTGGGTCTGATTCAGTCCGCTATATAATAATCCCTATTTTGAGAATTTCTTTTTTGTTTTTTGTTGTTTGATTGAAGAGTATGAGGAAGAGGGAGAGAGAGAACCCTTGTGGGGTTTGTGGGCACTATCACAAGTACGAGGAAGGGGAGGTTTGTGGGATCTGTGGCCATCGGATTCCCGATTCTTCCGAGAAATCATCGATCCAAGTGAGCGCTTTTCCGTCCGAGATCTTGCCGGAATTTGTTTATTTGGGCAGTTACGACAACGCTTCTCGCTCCGAGCTTCTCAAGACTCAGGGAATCTCTCGTATTCTAAATGTGAGATAAAAAGATTTGTTTTCTTTATTTTATTATTCTTCTTGTATTGGTTTTTTTTTTTGTATAAAACAAAAATTGTTATCAAGTTAGAGGAAAGCTATGTGGCGATTGACAATCTTCTATATGCTATTTGCATGGTTTGATTGATCTGACATCTGAGTTTGCCCATAGATATAATGATAAGGTTCTGCTATGGATAAGAAACGATTTTGGATAGGATGAATTCGATATCAGTCGTTTAGTTTAGTTTTTGTTGGCCAGGAAAAGATCAATGGGGAACGGTGGTTTTTTTTTTTTTTTTTTTTTGAAGAAAAAATTTCATTTCATTAAAACAAAATTACATACTCAATGGGGAACGGTGGCATTTAAAATTGGATAATTTGAGTATTGTGTGATCAAGGGAAATTTGTAGGAAGAATGAGGATTGTCATCCATGCCTTGGCCTTAATTTGCGGATCAGATGGAAATCTTTGCAGCCTCTGCTGATCTGAGATAGATGAATGGGAAAGTAAATAGCTTTGATGGTGAAGAAGCTGAAGAGTTATGGAAGTGTATAAATTACACTACATAGATCTAAATGCAAGTAAATATTTGTTGTTTAAGCTGTAAGTAGTTGTGACAAGGTCCACACGCAATTGATATTTATGAAACACAGGGTGTTCCATTGAGATGTCATGTACAATTCTTTTACATACTAAATCATAATCTGCATAATTTAATCAATGTCCTGTATGTAACTAGGTACGTGGGACTTTTTTCAACTGCCTTGTTGTACAGATGTTGTCCTGTTTGAGTTTGATTATTGCCATTACGAAGGGATTTGATCTAATCTTGTTAAGTGATTGCTTTAATCATCATTTTTTTTTTATCATTATGTTCAAATGTGATTCCCATGTTATTGTCATTAAAGTACCATGTGCAACTTCTTTGTTTGGCATAGAATGTTGATACTGTTGAATTATTTGATCAAACGGAGGATGACATTCCCTGTTACAACTTCTTGTTTGTATGCAGACCGTACCTGCTTGCCAAAATCTCTACAAGAATTCCTTCACCTATCACTGCCTTAAAGATGAAAAGACTTTACAATTTGAGGATGCAAACCAGTTTTTAGGTATGTTTTCATCTTATGCGTATACATTGGTTAAATCTCTCTCTCTCTCTCTCTCTCTCTCTCTCTCTCTTCATGTGTGTGTGTGTGTATTCTCTTTATACATATTTGTTAGTTAGTTGTTTGACTGCTATATGGTCCCCAGGATTAGTATGATTGTTCTATGAATCCAAATCTGTGTATGAGGTTGTTTGAAAATTATCATATTTTAGGTCATGTTTGGAGTTGGTTTTGTTTTTGTTTTCACGTTTTTCGAGAAAAAATGAAAACGGGAGAGAAACGGCGTTTGACACAATTAAAAATAAAAAACGGAAATGAAAACGATTTTTTGGTTTAGTATAAAATGGGAGAGAAATGAAAAATGACTTTTAGTCGTTTTTCATTTTTTGTTTCTGTTTTCTCCTCTCTCGAGCACAGAGAGAGAGAGAGAGAGACATTAATGGATTTTTTATACTGAAAACAATATCTTGATAAAACTACCAAACACATTTTCAAAAATGATTTCTATCTGAGATTGAAAACATTTTCATTTCTATTTTCATACAAAAAACAAAATCATTTTAAAACGAGTTCCAAACGCACCCTTAGTGTCTTCATATTTGTCCTTTCAATGAGAGTGAAGTCGTATTCGGACATCATTAAACAATGGCATTGACCGCTTTGTTTGGTTGATTTGCAAGTCCTATTATCTCTATATATTTCATTTTGGTTCCCTACCACCTGATGTAGGATTTAGTTCCCTACAGTTTATTGTATTTCAAATTGTTGGTTCCATCTAAAGAAATAAGCTCATTGTCAGAAAAATTGATTTGATTGGTTGTCATTTATGGTTGAATATTTTAGAGGTCTTATTTATTTTTCTTCTCTTTCTAATAATCTCTTTGCGTTTTTTATGGACTCAAATCACCTCTCCAATTTTTGGTGTCTCAATTGTGTCTAACCAATCAAATTATGACACATCATTTAATTGATCGAAATATCAAAGCAAGGGAAAATTAGTTAAAAAGATATTTCAATTTTTTAAATGACGTGGCACAATCTGAATGATTAGACACCATTCTAGACCCGGAATTGGACAGGTAATTTGAATCCGTTTTTTATAATCCCCCATAAAGTGATAATAACATATATGAGTCAATGTTCAGTGCCTTAATGGTTCCTCTCAAGAATTTAAACAGTTGTACGTGATGATTACAATACCAGATGGATTATTGACTGCAAAGTTACTTGATTTTCACTTCCTTGATTCCTTTTAGTTGTCCAAGTATTTAAAGATTTTGTTCAATCAGTTGCCTCTTCTATTTTGTTTTGTTCTACTCACATTATTTTCTCATTATTTTGTTCTTTCTTGGGGACGTATACTAAATGGTAGCTGTATAAAAAATGTTGGAAGCTTGGACTAAGACAAGAAGAAGCTTTAAACACTAACTGTAACTGGCAAGTGTGGAACGAATAATTGTGTTATGCACAAATAATCTATCATCTCTAATACCAACCAACATTTTTTTGGTTTCCCAACTCCAAAGAAACTTAACACTATTGATCAATCTTTGTGATTGATCCATAAAAATGTTAAAACTGGGAAATATGTTTGTAGATTTTTTTTTTAATTCATGTGACCTCGCGTGTTCGGAGTCTAATCAATTACAAATTAAAGTTGGATTGCTTTTCTTATCTTCCTACTTATCATATTGCAATCACGCTTTGTTTTGTAGAGCAATGTGAAAGGGATAAGGCTCGTGTTCTAGTGCACTGTATGTCTGGAAGAAATAGGTAAGTGACAACTACAAAATTGTACCGTTTTAGTTTTGCCATCATTTAGTGACATGTGTTTATATAAAATTGCTCATAAAATAGGGCATTCCATAATTGCAGACTAGAGATATTCTGGAGTAAAACTTCGACGTGTAGTAGTATAACTGAATCAGGAGGTTCCTGTTTGTTTATGAGAGTTGAATCTTCTTCCTGACAGGTCGCCAGCTGTTGTAATAGCATACTTGATGAAATCTAGAGGATGGCGGCTCGCTCAGAGTTATCAGTGGGTAAAAGAGCGGAGGCCGCCTGTTCAGTTAAGTCAAGGTATGCATGTGCTTCTTGCCAAATCTGCTTCGACATTCCAAAACCGGGTATTTGAGTGCATAATTTGTTTGAAAACTGAAATATTATGTCTTCTGTTTACAATTTTCTGTTTTGCTGAAAAATAAATCTCTGTTTAATTGATTGTGAGATAAGAATGTTCATTGTCAAGCCAGTTAGATCATATGTTTCTCAATCTAAGTTTGTTTTGCTAGGCTTGAATACCTGCCTACTAAAAACTCTGATTGTAGTGGATTGAAATATTACGCTTTGTTTTGGATGTAAAGAAAACTTTGCTGCTTCTTTTTTCCTTTTCTTATCCCTTTCCATTTTTCACATGATGATAATTCCGAATGAGAATATAGAGCGACCACAGTCGTGCTAACTCTTTAAGCCTCGTTCGCTTCGTGGATTCGAGTTTTCAATTTGAGCTGAAATGTGACATTTTTTGAGAGCTTTTAACTGTAGCAGAAAAAATTAGATGTGACATTTTCTGAGAATTTTTAACTATAAAAACCTAAAACTGAAAACTCAAATCGGTGAAATGAACGAGGCCTTAATTTATTTTTTAAAGACATGCAAAACAACAATCTATAATTCTCTGAAGATATTGGACATCACTCTCCACCGAATTTTCTTATCATGCGATGGTAGAGAAGTCCTTGAAAAAGTCTTAAGAACAAAATTAATATTTTCTGATGGTCTTGTGAACTATATTAGCTTGTTCTTAATTATGAGTTGAATACAACGAAAAGGTATGCATCTCTTAGATGCCAACTGTTTATAGCTCTTTCCTGATCTCGTTTCGCTTTGTGTTTATAGCTGTCTACGAGCAATTGCAGGAGTATGAGCTGAAGATTTTTGGATCAGTCGATAGTAGCAACCCCACTCCGCCAATTTTCCTGCCTACAGCTGCACCTTTATTCAACATAGGCTTCCCAAAGATTAACGATCCGGTTCCCGTCCCTACTTTCAACACTGTCAGTGCTCCTTCCATTTTTGAGCGCTCTGCGATAAATATTCCGCCGCATGAGTTCACGTTTCAAGCGATACCGACTCAGAAAGATATCTCGGGAAGCCCTCTTAATGCCAATCCACCAAGTTCAAATGCTAGTGACATTCAAATGGATAGTTCTTGATTTGGCTAGTCTTTTGATACTTTTCAGTCTTCCCATTTTAAAGGATGGTCAGAAGTTTAAAAATCCTGACTTGGATGTTTGAATGTAAAGTGGGAGTGGTTGCTCAAACCTTTTGGTTTGTAAGGTTTGGTGCGATAGAAAGCCATGGGAGCCTTCTCTCATTGTCGTTTTATTACAAGTGCAACTATTTTTTATTGACTCGTGCGCTTATACAAAGTAATATCCACTAAAATATCTCTTAGTTCATTTTATCTGCTACATTTTGGTTTTTTTGCCGAAATTTTTAGGACTAATATTTGTTACATTCCTTACGACTCTGTGATCAGTCTCAGGTCATTTGCCTTTTTTCTTCTCTCTCTCTCCTCTTTCTGATACATAGTAGCTATAACTGCTATTAAATTGCTTCCTATAAGTTGGAAAGTGAACTAGAACCATTTACAGATCAGATCGAGCTACTCTTTATACATCGAGTCAGGATGTAAGAGAGTGGACGGCCTTTATCTTTTTCTCTTACATTCTGACTCGGCCGAGTCGGAATGTTTAAAAGGACGTTTGGTTCATAAATTTAAAATTATGATTTAAAATTATTTTCGGTTTACGTGTTTTTAGTGAGAGAAAACACTGTAGCGAGTTATAAATTATGATCCGAACTATGACACAGATCTTTATTTCAAACGCATTTTAAATTATTTTACAATTTTTTTTTTTTTTTTGGGTAACCTCGTAGGCAATTAGGGGTAAAAACATGAAAGCACACTTGGGTTGGACGACCATTTGCTTGTGATAAGAAAATTACAGATTTTATCTATTTAACTACATGACTTATTAAAAATATCTCTTTTAAAAAACTCAAAAAACTCTGCTTGTTGATTAATTTTAATTTAAAAGTCTATATGAACTAATGTTAAGAGGTATAAATAAATGGAAATTCTATTTCAAGAGATATTTTTAAAAATTGCCCATTTGCGATTCATATCAGTTAATGGGCCAAAAGACTAGTCTAGCCGTCTTGGCATACTATGAAGATAACCTAATAGGTCTTGATTTGTTTCTTGAAATGCCAAGCAACGGGCAGAACATATATCCTTGTTACACAATGGAATGACCTCATAGGCATCTCAAATGTACATCCTTTTCTTCTTTCTATTTATTTATCATATATAAAAATGAAAAGAAAAAGAAGAGCAATACAGATCAGAACATTACCATTTTTTCAAGATATATTATTTTCTTTCCCGTTTCTATGATCACAAATAACAGAAAAGACAGACCTGAACAGTCCTGCAGCTTATGCATGGAAAGTTATTTGGATGAATATATTAGTGCGCAATGGAATTTGAAATAAATTTCATTTAAAACAAGCACCTTTACTTTGTGGTACAAAGTTCCTTAAAGAACTATACAAAGTTCAGGCCATTACATGCTGCTAGTAGCATTCTGGAATCCGACACAAGCCTTTCTATTCACTATGTTTCTATAACAAATCATACAAACCAAATTTACACGCGTCAAATAATAATATTTCTATGACTAGGCCCAATTCTTGGTTTGAAGGTAGGACTTTGCAAGCCACAGCAAACCTGGATCATTCCTCTTCAACACCAGATAAGTTTCAGACTTTCCCATTTCGTCCGACACGATATCTTCATTGAAGCCCACCAAAACCAAGAATTCTATCGCAGCTATATTCACAAAGAACACAATTTCATACTAATTAATTATACAAACATAGCTAGCAATGAGAAGAGCACAATGAAAAAATAAAATAAATAAAATAAAGTTCACAATGAAAACCCAAACCCAAACACAAGGCAAAATACAAACCTTTGTAACTTGCAATATTCCTTTGAATTGTTGGATTAGCCTGCAATGAGTCATCCATCAGCTATCAGGAAGTTTTTTTACTGAAATGCTCTTTTAACATTCAAACTAAATCTCAGGAATACAGAAACCAAGGATATATTGTTTGTACCTTGCGCAGTCTTCTGAATTTCATCTCATCTGGATGTTCAATGACATTGCTGCCACCAGATAACAGTTTCTTAGTATAACTTTTATCATAAAGCGTAAACACGTAATTAGACAATGATAACCTATGATATACTCTTTTATAAGTCTCCGGGGATCTCCCCGATCCCAAGAAGTCTCGATGCTAGATGTTTCAAATTCAAGCATCTCCATCTTATTAAGGGGAACCATGTGGTACTAATCACAAGTAATGAATACACCTGCCTGCATATAGGGTGATCAATTTGAAAAAGAAGAGTTACCTTATTATCTTAAATAGAGTTTGGAATACTACAATTGCCAGTGCCGGATCAATGTCAGCTTGCAGTGTCTCGATGGCCTTTTGCAAACGACCACAAGCAACTGTAACAGGGTCTTGAATTCTTTGTAATTCCTCATCATCTGGATCTGGTTCATCAATTTGCATTCTGGACATCTCCACAGGGTGCACCAACTTATCATCGGGATCAGGTTCTGCCATCATGACTTCATCTTCCCGAGACTCACCAAGATTGGCTTCTCTGTGAGCCTCGGTTCGATTGGATTGACCATTGATTGCTCCAATTATTAAAGAGTTGTTTTCATTGTCTATCATGGCGTTCCCATATTCCGTATTATTCCATTTTGCATCCAAGTCATCAGGATCAGGTTCATCAAAATGCTTCTGTGCTTGAGTCTTGCTATCCAGAATGCTCATCTCCTCAGAGTGCAAAGGCATATGTTCAGCTACAACACAATGCTTCAAACTAGCTTCTAAATCATCAGGATCAGGTTCTTCACAAGGCCTTACAGCATCCAACTTTCTGTTCACTACCGCTGCAGGTTGGGTTGTCTCACTTTCAACAAATGGTTGCTCAGATTCCCAATTCTTTTCTCCCTGAGAATCATCGGGATCAGGCTCAGATTCCCAATTCTTGTCAGAATGGTCATCAGGATCAGGTTCCTGATGAGGTTTCAAATGAACCTCGTTAAAACTGTCACCATCAAATCCTTCTTCTACCACAGGGTTCATTTGATTGGATTCTTCAAGTGTGTGGAAGCCAGAATCATCAGGGTCTGGCTCTTCATGGATTTCAGATATTCCAGAACTATTGGCAGAAGCATTTAGCATACGTTGATAAGCAGCAGTCACTGAAGCCACGCGGGCACTTTCCATCTGATCCAATGTATTTCCTCCAAGCTTCTGGGAGAACTTACTACCTTCTTCAAGATCGAACTCTTCGTCATAATGCTCTGAACGGTTCAATCCACTCAAGGTGTGGCTTGTGGATTTTGTCCAATCTAAACTAGCAGCTTCTTGGTTCAGCTACAAAAATTAAAAAGAGAATATGGTGAATCCTCTTAGTGTAAGATTAAATAGTTAAACCAGTACACTTGCTCCCGGTAAAAACTTGACTACACATCAAAACACTGTCTTACCTGTCTATCCAGTGCAAAGAAGTTTGCATCGTGTTCAGAGTATACCATGTGAGCCTGAAGAATAGATGAGAACAGCATATAAGCTCCCAAAAGACATATATTCCCAAATGTACAGGGTAAACACTGATTGACTGAATTAAGCTTACAAGTTCATGCAGAAGAGTTTTCTTGATTTTCTCATATTTCCTAAAACCCTTCAGATCATCAGTTCGAAGACGCAGAGATATCGCCTCACCATGATTCTGCAATGGTAAAAACAGAGTCACTATGAAACAGGGGGAAAAAAAAAGCAAATGAAAATTACTTTGATAATTTATTTATGATGCTTGTAGTGGTCATACCTTGTTAAAGCCGAGAAGGCATTTTGGACTTATGCCCACATAACCAACAGGGGCCATCTCAGTCATAATTCCTACACGCCAGCGATGCTTTAAAGAAGAAAAATTAAGAGATAAGGGATCAAGTTTGAGGTCAGATCAAATAAATAGTACCGTGAAAGACTACAAGAGGTACCTTGTTCATGATGGCAACAATTCCTGGATCTGCAGCAAGCATGTGCATTCTTTTTAATGCCTCTGATGCAGGAGGATTCAGCTATAGAAAGCAAGAATCAAATTGGTCAATGAAACAATTCAGGAATGGATATCTTGATTTTCGAACTACAGATGCGTTTTCCAGCAAATGAAAGGAAAGCATCCATATTCCATAACATGACTTTAAGCTTCGAGTGCTTCATAGAAATTATATATACAGTTTAGTTTACAAAACTGGAAAGATAAGTGCAATTATAGGTTTACGACAGAAGTGTTTGGTTATATTTCAATGTATAGTTATAATGACATCAAATTTATTGCTTTTCTAGCCTACTAAACAATATCTGTCGCAAGTATAACTCAGGACACATTATTTAAAGGAAGCAGAGCCCAGATATGAACAATCTGCAAGACTTAAACCAAAGCTATATGGAGGAACCAGGTGGCTTAATCTTTGCAAACTAATGATAAGTTGTGAAATGACCAAAACAGTAACGGGTCTGCTAACAACATATAAATTAAACTATATTGAGCAGCATGGTGAACTTGTTATGGCCAACGCGAATCATATATGTTCCCAACCCTAATTCACAAATTTGTAAATTACTTTCTAAGCGAAACAGACACAAGTTGACATACCTCTTGTTTACAGACCTAGTAAAGCCAAGTAATTTATTTATTTATTATTATTTTTTTCAAAAAGACAAATAGAAAAGAATGTGGGTTTGTCCCTCTATGTGTGCAGTCTCCCTTAAAGCATTAAATTCTTGAAGAACAACCTAACAAGATAAAACTACCTAAATACATAAGTAAAGTGGGAGAAAGAGAATTCAAATGTACCTCTATTCCTGGAAGTTGAAGTGTGCGAAAATCACAAAAGATATAGGGTCCTTGTGGAAGTTTAAGTGAGAGTTGAGGCCTATCTGATATTCGCTGCCTCAGTCTCTTTTCCTCTTCACTAAATCCAGCTATCCTCAAGTTTAGCTTTGCACCTTCTAGAACTTCATCAACCTCATTCTCGGACACTCCCATCATTCTGATAGGCTTCCCCTGAAAAAGGAAACAGTTAATCAGCCTTTTTGCGTTAGTTGCATGATAGCTTCCTAACGACAACTGTTCTTATAAAAAGCACACGCTGCATGTCAAAAGAATTGTGCAAAACCATTTATATTATTAACCAACACCTTATTTTCAATGAGACATTTGCCAAAGCCACTAAAATAACTCTTTTAGTGAAAGTAACTAAATTCGAATGAGAAATGAGTCTTTTTTATTAGAGTCCATATAAAAAGAGCAAAAAAAAAAAAAAAAAAAAAAAAAAAAAAAAAAAAAAAAAAAAAAAAAAAAAAAAAAAAAAAAAAAACGAAAGATGTAACTCTATGACCATTCTGTAGTATTCCACAAAAACAATTATGGCATAAAGAACTTACGCAGCTACACTAGATCTAAACACAGAAAAAAGCATGATAAATAATCCAATAGCAGATTACAGTTTATAAGAAAAACCTCACGAGATATCTCCCAATTGAAGCATTCTTTTAAGCTCAAACTTTTGACTGTTTAGACGTCATATTTTATCATATTCCAAATATGAGCGAAGGAATAGATATTTCCCAACTATCTATGATGTTCCAGGGTGATTTAGAATCACTATTGTGAAAATTTTGCTGTTTTAGAATAATACTAATTTATAATACCTCAGTAATAGAAGTTTCTTGTAAACTCAAGCGCTCGTGCTCGTTCGAGAAAGGAGTTAGCAACTTCGAGGACCGCGGAACAATGAATCGCATAGTATCTGGTTTGACATGAGTTAAGTTTTGCAGCTCATGCCCAAGCTCCTTGAGAGTAGCACTTGGATTCATCTGTACAACAAACTTCTTTCCCCTCCATATGACTGAGATGTCGTGTACGCTCTGAGGATCTTTCATGTTATTCTGCAAAACAAAGAATGAGAAATAGTTTATGATCATGTTCCATCAGACGAAAGTACAATATCCAGGGGAAGAAATCTGGGTATAAAGACACACTAACATATCTAATTATCCTTATTTACATGTGTATTTGAATGCAAAAATCACCAATCTAAAACAATTGCTTAACATCTACAAGAGAATTTCAATGCGATAATCATCGATGACGACGGATTAATCTAAGATGGATTAGGTATAAGTATAGTCAACTTAAGTAGCAGTTACAAGAAAATTTCTATGATTAGTTATCCTCTTCTTACACACACAAACAGATCATGTAATCTCCAAATATGACATATTAGACCCAAGAGATAAAAATAGTTGCATCAAATAAAAGGAACAAACACAATTTCATATCCAGCTAAATAATAACAAGAATCAAAATAGATTACAAAAAAAAAATAGCAGGTCTTCTTGGGAATAAAACCAACAAAGATTACACTCAAAAGAAGCTATCAAAAAGGCCAAATAACATATAATCATTTATTTGTTCACTGCCACAATCAGACTATAAAATTTAAATAAATAAATAGATTGAACTAAACCCACATAAAAATTCCAACTTTACCAGTCACACAAAATTCAGCTAAACAATAATTGAAAATCGGCTCAAACCGAGGAAAAATTGGAGAAAAATATATGAACGAACAAAAATTGAAGCATAAAGCATAAAAATATAAAATTGAAATGATAACTCAGCAAACTTTTACATGATTCAAGGGCGTAAATTAATCTTGGAATAAAAGAAACGTCAATTCGTTATCGAACAAGTCGGTTGGAATTTTGGAAAACTCACCTCGTATTCGTCAATCTAATCGGACACAGTTTTGATTTTGTCGCTTGTTGCAAATATCAGAAAATAAATACTTTCTCAGTTCCTTGAGAAATAAAATTAAAATTAAAAAAATATGGGCGGTCAATTCTGTCAAATGATGCGTAGGATAGGATGCGGCGTATGTTAGATTTCGCTCCAGTTTCGTGCTAAAATTCACAGCTCTGGCTATTACCGTATTACGTATGCGCTGTCGCACAAAGAGCCAGAGGAATCTAGAACAAAGACTACTTTGTTCTTCTTGAGAGCTTTTCCGGTGGGAAAAAAAAAAAACTCTAGTAAATTTTTTGTTTTCCATAGTTAAATTTATATCAAATACTATCTATTTAGTGTATTTTTTAATTTAATGTGATTTTTATCTTTTATCTAACGGTCAAAATTGATCCATACTCAATACGGAGGCCCTAAAACTCACTTTTTTTCTTAATATTTAATAGTGTTTGGTATTTACAAAATTAAGAAGTTTTATTACCGATATCTTTTTGGATAGAAACAAAAATAGAGTATATTACGTGGCAAAAAAGCAATTATATCAAAATAATTGTGGCAAAAAATAAGTGATCGTAAACAAACTTTTAGATAAATAAGGTGAGCTTTTATAGTGAGACCGCTTAACAAATACTAGTGGAACTAGGATTGTAAAACTAAAATCGATCAACAACGATTGAAGAATCGACCAATCAAAAATTTAAAAATACGGCGTCATGTGAAACTGAAGATATTTAGTTCGGTTAACCGAACCGAATGGTGTAATTCCAGTTCGATTTTAATTATGGCCTTTGAGGTTCGGTTAAAAATTGAACCGTTTGTTTTTTGTTTTACTTTTAATTAATTTCTAATCTAATTACTTGAACTTATAAATCTGGGGGGCGTTCGTTTCAGTATTTTAAAAATTCAAGATTAGAGTTAAAAAAGTGAGTTTAATTGGAATTGTGTTTGAAATTTGAGTTGTGTGTTCACTTGGATAGTTTGTGAATGTTGAACTTGAGTTTTGTATTCACTTTGACAAAAACATAACTCAAATTTTAGCAAGTATTGACATGGATTTTTTTAAAGAGAGACTACATAACAAACCTACATTCATAAAAAAAAAAAAAGTCCATAAGTTTAGCATTACAAACTATTAATGGTGTGAAATTGGGTAAGCAAATACATAACAAATCCATATTAATAAGGTCGTTGAAATTACGAAACAAATATGTAACTACTGATTGCGATATGCTTCCAATGCCCCCCACATGCTAGCAGCCATCTCGTCCCTCAAAATATTCATTTGTCTACAATTTGCGGAGTTGTGATTTTGTTCCGTTGCCTGATCAGGATTGTGATTCTGATTAACATCTTGATCTGCATTCTCTGGATCAATTTTAATAACTGGTACTCCGTCTCATGTATACTGGTTTAGTAGATCGTCGTTATGGTTGTACATATGTATGAAATTGTGAAGCACGACACAAGCAATAGGAATTTGTATCTGTTTCTCTATTGGGTAATTATTTATGCACTTGAGTATGCGGAACCTTGCTTTCCAAACGCCGAAAGTGCGCTCAATAGCATTTCTTAGGGACGAATGCGTGTAATTGAACAACTCACGCTAAGTTCGAGGATGACCACGTCTTGCCCTATACTCTTGAAGGTGATATGTCCCCCGGTATGGCGCCAAGAAACAATCATTGTTCACATAGCCAGAGTCTACAATGTAGTATTTCCTTATATTATCCATTACAAATCAATAATTAAGTACGGACAAGTCTTTAGTGCTATCAAGAGATCGTATTGGAAGCAATTAACATATTTAATAGAGGTCAATCAACCAACGATATTGCTTGTATATCGAAATGTATAGCAAGGATCATTGTTCACATACCGGGCGGTGGATTTGGGAAATTTTTTTTCTGATGTCTCTATTGCGGATGCAAGAACGCGCGCATCATGGGCAGAGCCCTCCTATCCAGCTAACATGTAAGTAAACTTCATGTCAAATGAACATACCCCTAACACATTTTGGGAGTAAAAACCCTTCATATTCCTCCATACTTCGGGGTTACCGGGTGGTGGAACATAAGGGACGTGAGTCCCGTTAAGAGCTCCAATGCAATTCTGTAATCAATTAACAACAACTATTACCAATTATGTCAAGTAAGTCGATAAACATATGACTCAGTATTAATGAGATACTTGAAACCATGGCAAATACTTGCTTCCATTTGCCGTAATGACTGGATCAATAATGTTAAAATTCGGGGGTGTTATGAAATCATGGCGTAGGTTATATATTGCCTTCAATACAGCCTCGAAGTATTTGGAAATGGTGGATCCAGAATGCTGCCATTGGTCCTGTGATTCCCTATTGCTTTGGCTTTGGGACACAATGTATAGGAAGATAAAAAGCTGCTCGTCCACATTCATATTCCTAGTGAGTCTCAAATATCCTCTAAGTTCTAGTAGTGAACTAAGACGCTTAAAACAGTCACTGCCCATCCTAATCTTATTCTGAATTACGTCATCGTGGCCATCAAGCAAGTAATCAACACGCATAATACCTGTCAACGCGGAGGTGTGCTTAGGTCGAGGTGGGAGTCTTTCCATGTAGTTGTGGTAATACTAGAGGACAACCACGATGCCAGCTACCTGATATTCATCATCAGAGTCACCGCTCAATGTGCTGTTGGGCGACACGTTCAGAGGCCCTCCGTTCCACATTATGACATGTTGGCCAAATATGTCATAATAGAGGTCACCTGTACAACAAAAAAGGTTAAAATTGGGCAATAACATTATGGCAAAGTATTGAAAAGTCACTACTGGGTAGGTGCCCATTTCATAACAAGTAAAGTCTGTAATGCGAATTGCAACATGTGATCATATCATAAATTGAAAGAAAAAGCAAATGAAGCAACAGTTTGGAAGTACATCGACTCAATAAATCAATATAACATAGTTAAAAAGCAACATAATTATGAAAATTATTCATCATTATCTAGTAAAGAAAAAGTGTTAAGTAACTCATAGCTAGTCGTCATTGGTTTCTCCACCAAAAGGACTGGAGTTAGGCGGAAAACTAGGCACGTAATAGGGTGGTTGACATTGAAAGTTAGGGGTTTGGGGAATAACATTTGGGGTCATGTTTTGGAATAGTGGGTGTTGTGATTGCACGTTGGGAGACTGTTAAGAAAAACTGGGTACTTGTGGTTGGCCAAAGTTAGGAGGTTGTTGACCAAAGATAGGCGGTTGTTGGAAAAAGTTGGGAGGGGGCATGAAGTTTGGAAACGGGGGCTGCATGAAGTTGGAGGCCATGGCTGGATTAGGCATCGAGAAAGGCTGGCTTGTTTGATTCGTTTTAGAGTTAATGGTCCTCATCACGAAAAAAACCCTTTGCGTCTCTGTCATATCCACGAAAAGTTATTGCATGTACGGATACCACGCAATGACCTCTAAAAATGTTACAACACTTTCATCATCAAGATCCATTTCCTTGACAAGCACTTGATACTGCTGCATAACAGTTGGGGTTGTAGGATTCTGAGTAGCGCTGGAATTGATTGCTCTGCTACTATTCATACTTTCTATAGATGCCACAAACCGTCCAATGAGTGCCTTAGGCTCTGGATCACCAACCGGACGTTTGTAACTGCGTATAGACTTCTTTCCAATTGCCTTAGAAGAGGATGCAACGTTCAAGCCCTTCCTAGCAGTGTTCAAACCAGCTCGCATCATAGTGATAAAACCGTCGTCACTGCCAAACAACTGCGATGTCGCCCCCTTCACCTTCTTCATCCGGGATGAGAATTGTGTCTACATGTTCGGTGGTAGGTTTTCCCAAACCCTTCTCAAAAGCTCCACTTGCTCGGGTACTTCTAAAGGCCTCGTAGTACAGTTTAAAGTTTTTTTAGGGCTGCTTCTTTGCAACATTGGCTCACTTCTTGTTCTGTGTGACAAAGAATAACGACATAAGCAAACTTACGTTTAACATATGTCCTAAATGATGCTAAATAATGAAAAAAGAGAAAATGAACGTCTAGAATTTACCTTAGCAAAATCATCCCAATACTCATCCGTACATGTCACAGCGCATGTCACAAGATCCCAACCAAGGCCTGTGTTTGTGCGTAGTATAACCTCCTTATCGAACTTGCCATTTAGACGCACTTTCATCTGTTGAACCTTGGCCGCCGTAACTAGATCCTTAAAATGTTTTTGTAGTTCAGTAGCCCAGTCTTCCTAAGTTTTTTAGGCCAGTTTCCTACCGTGGTATTTACGGTTATACTCTGCGAGGCGTTACAACAACTCCTCATTCTGCATTTGATTCCAATGAAGAGTCGTGTCTCATCCTTTTCCCCTCTCAGCATCTACTACCACACACCAACGGCATCATCCCACACACAAAAAATGCTACAAACAAAATCAAGTAACAACAAGGGACACAACAACACAAACAAATAAGTATTAATTAAGCACTACAATGACTAACTTTTCTAGAAGAGGGAATAGTAACCCCCATTCACTATATATGTAACTATATGGCAGTGAATTATGAGCAAAAGCAAGTGCAAATGTATGATGACTTTCAATCATTAGTTTGGTAGAAAAGCAAGCTTTCTCTCTTTCTCTACGCTTATTCACAGAAGAAAACAAGCCCAAAAATGCAGAAGATTCTAATAATTTTCTAAGTTATTTGACTTGATCTTTAGAAATTATAATCACATATGATTATGAAAGTAATAATAAAGTAATTAACCAGTGGACATGGATGTTAGTTTGTAAACATTAGTTGAAACATAATTAGATTCATTATTAGTGACCCATAATTAGCCAGGTCCCACTCTGCTTGCACAATTGCACATTGAGGACATAATCTTTAATTAATTACTTCCACGCTTATATCTAATGAACAATCTTCTATTTCTCCTATATCAATTAGCATTTAAAATAATTCCCAAGACTTCAAATTCCGGACACAATGTTAGCTACGTTTAATGTAACAATGTCCTAGTCTTCTGTTTAAGCCACAAAAGAACAAAAACGAAAGAAAAAAAGAACCA